ACAAAAGTTACAACTAAGCAAAAAACAAGTTACAACTAACCCGGCTACCTCTGGCAACGGACCAATGCCAGCATCCTTGGCAACTGACCACGCATGCCCATCCCCTACGGTGTATATGGGAGGCATTCCACAGTTGAAAATAACAGGAGCCCAGGCCCAACCCTCGGCGATCAGAGAAGGGCAGGTCGGAGAACAATCGCCCGCGCGGAAGCGATTAGCAGCAGAGTCTGCCAACTCATTCCAGGGATGACCCTCATGCGCCGTAACATGTCTCCCAAGAAAATGTTGACCGGCCTGATTTTGAACGACAGCAAAACGTCCCCTGAGCGGACGAGAAAGCGGCACCTCAGCCAAGGAGCAGTCGCCACTAGCACCAAGTCCGGCACTTACACAATCCCAGCATAGCAAAGCGCGACTGAAGTTTGTCCTCAATGAGGCCACCAAAGCATCCAAGGAAGGCACATGCTCCAGCGAATCGGTCAGAAGCAACGATAGCTACAGACCAGCCAGCACAGCCATCTTTGGCAGACCCATCAGTGTAGAGGTGGAGCTGCATTCCTGACACAAAAGGCGCACCTCAGCGCAGCGATGGTAGAAGAGTGCAATTTCCAGTCATCAAGGTCAGTGATCAGGTTGAAGTCGGGCCAGCTCCGGGGCAGAGTATCTGGCAACATCCAATTGTCAGGAAGAATTACACGACCAGTATGACAGCTAGCCAATCCAGAGGAACGTCCCCCTGGTGTCAAGGCCTCAGAGATACTGATGTTCTTGGAGGACTCCTGTTGGNNGCAGCGCCTGCAGAAACAAACCCAATTCGTCACATGTCCGGCGGAAGTCATATTCCTTGCCGTCCTCAAGGGCAGTGATGGCTTCCTCTACAATACGGGGAGAATCACCCTCATTGAACATGCTTGTGAACGTGCCGGGGTCCTTCAGCATGAAAATATCATTGTGATCCAGAGTCCGAGAGAGGCCTGTCTGAGGACAGTGACCCTGACAAGAAGACAGGAATGACGAGGCTGGCTCGTTCTCAAAAACAGGCAGGGTCACCCGTGAAGCAAAGTCATCAGAAACCATGCCAGTGACGTGAATATACTGACAGCACAGGACCTATCCAAGACGTCCTCGCTTGAGAGAACGGAAGCCTGCTCTATAAGTAGGGCAACAACCCGCTATGCTGTTGCCAGAGCTGCGAGTCTGTCCCCTCCCAGAGTTCTCACAAAAGGAGTGAGAAATACCAATTTCTCCACCAGAGGTGTCCCCGTGCCTGCCTAGCATCCAGGCGTCTCCACTGTCAGCAGCACAGTTCCACATACAAGGCGAAATTGGGGGAAAGAAATTGAAACCGGCGTCCCTAGCAAAGCAAACCCCAGATACAGCATCTGCAGCACGAGGCCGCTCTGTTTTGGCATCAAGCACACCAACAGTCGAACTCTGTTCACCAGCAATTGGTGCAATTCCTTTCGAAGTGGATGCGTGAAAAGAATCGTCCGGAAAACCGCAGTCACTGCCATCCTCCTCATCGTCAGAGAAGGGCACCTCAGATTCTGAAGTCTCGTGGACAGGGAGGTCACCAACTGCCACGTACCTGGGGCTCACAACATCACCACTTTGAAAAGACTGAAGATTCCCACATTTCTGGCCACCCGAGAACTGAACCACAAAACAGGAACAATCGAAATGTCGAGCCCTAAGGCAAGCTCAAGCTCCTCATCAGCATACCATCGATTCTGAAGGATCACGGCCATGCCATCCTTGCCGATGCCACGTAAATTGAGAAAAAGGACAAGTTCTCCTCTATCTGGCCGGCCTGTGGCACAATGGACTGACTGTCTGCCAGACTGGTGCGCCGCTGAAGGTCACGTGCAAAGTGGTGTTCGGCCCCTCAGTAAATCGAAAGGCGATCGTCCAGAGCGTTTGCCAGTCCAGATCGCGACTACCAACCGAGATGAGACTTGTATCAGACTCATGCGTAAGTTGAACATGGGTGATTCCCCATTGCAAATCTGGCTCCTCTTCTTGCCCTTCGCAGTTTTTACCCCAAAGGGAGTAAGCATCGAATGCCTCAAATTCACTGGGGAACGAAAACTGCGTAATAGGATCACGCTGTAGACACACCGCCACTCCATCTCGGGCATGGTACATGGAGTCAGCAGTGAGAGGTTGCTGTGAATGATACAGCGAGAAGACATATAGGTCATCCTCCCACAGTTCGTTCAGGAGATCAGAAGCATGCTGTGTCCAGTGTGGGGCCCAAACTGCAGCCACATAGTCACGAAGAGGGATGCCACGAACGGGAGCAAGGTATCCTGGGGAGCTAAGCTGCGCCACTTGGGAATCAGGCTCCAGCAGCTCAAGCACCGCACGGATCCCTGCTCCTTCTCTGAACTCAAGGAACATAACCTCAGACCACATCCCCACTCCAAAAATACGGAAGTAATACGTGCAGTAGCTATACTCCGTTTCCGACTCTGAAGTGGTCGGGGAACCAGGGTTTCGAGCCACATGCCGTAGGTGCACAAGGCTGCCACAGCGCCTCCGCGCTCGTCTGATGGCCCTAAAGCCAGTCGGATCCTGGCCATCAAAGCTTCCTGCGCCAGCGCTGACTCACGAGCACAGTCAGAAATCCTCTTGACGCGGGGAGAATTTCGCAAGCGGCCTACCGCAGGACCAGCAGACAACTCCACAGAGAAAACGAGCCCATCTGAGAAGTGGATCAAAGTTGCAAGCACCACCTTTGAGGCCAACTGAAAAGGCAGCAAGTCTGGTTTGGTACACAAGAACAACGAGGAAAGCAGATCGCCCCACCATAATAGTGTTGAAGCCAACCAATCATTAGCACAGTCCAGGAAACCTAGCCAAAAAGATTGCATGTCTGCACGCAAGCTCATGATCCAAGGTGCTTGAGGCTCATCTGTAAAGAAAAGCTGGGGCATAGGCCTGACACAGCCTGAGCTTGATCCGACCCAAGATACGTGATGAGAATAGTCAGGGAGCTCCGCCGGCACGAAACCACACATAAGAGTGCAGCACCCCGTTGCTCACCTGGGTGTTGATAAGGGACAACGCCCCGATCCAAGTCAAACCCATCCAGGTTAGCAGCAGGCCCCCCAGCTTGCAAAATCTGAGAAGTGCTGTATATAACCGAAGCGAGCAGAGTGACTTTGGCCTGAACTTCCAAGTTGCGAAGGACACAAGCTGCCGCTGGAAAGAACATGCGCAGGACAGGTCGGCTTTCCACATCATGTGAAGTCTGTCCATTTCCCCCATCTTCGGAGAGACCTTCCTTTGTGAAGACATGCAGGGTCAGCAGCATAATTTGCCGTTGTAGGAAGCACAGAGAACTTCCAGCCAACCACAAAGGCATGTCATCCCAAGAACAAACAAAACTTGAACCATAAAATTGAAGACCCGAAAAAATGGAACATCTCGAATGTCATTGCAAACATCAATGTAAGCTCGCATACCGCCACAATGGACAGCGGCAAAGCGCTTTGAAGAAAAATCGAGAGAGGGGTCGACCCCATTCTGTAAACCCCTCATGAAAATGCACAGGCCATGTAAGAAGCGCCACATCAAACCAAGCTTCGCTATATGAGCGCCATTTGGCCCTGAGACAGAAATCAGATTTTGGGACTCCATCGGCACATGACCCCTGACCCAAATGAGCCAGCGGCCACCCCGTCGTCCCTGCGAAGATCCAACGAAATGGCATCCAAACTGCATAAAGTCCTGCACAGAGACATGCTCGATCCAATGTGTCTATGGCTGCCTAGTACTTACGACCAGCCTGCAACGTACATCTGAAGGATCATGTAAGTCAAGACAGAGACACCCCAAAACCTCAGTTGTGTAATAACAACTGCCCCACTGTTCCATAGCATGGCAAAGCTGAAAGTCTGCAAACCACAACGCAGACTACTCACATACTCATTGCCCTGCTCATGGAAACACCATTCAAAGGAAATGGTCACCCAGAACTTTGAGTGACAATTCCACATGCCCAAGCCAGCTTCACCGCAATCACTTTTCACATGCTCCCTCAGGAGCAGGGACTCCGTCGGCACATGACAAGCTTGCCCACTCAAGCATAGCCTGCCACCCCGTTGTCCCACGTAAGTGAGCATTACTCCAGGTCGCCGAGGCCTGCACGCTGCTCCTGCAGAGCAGCAATCTCCGCTGCATCTAGGTCTGAGATGTCGCTGTCGTAGATAATGCGCCGCTCCGGTCGCACACTGGCCAAAACAGGCGGAGGGCTGGGTATGACCTCGACTGCTGGGTGGTCTGTGCCAACGCCAGCAAGAGTTGATTCCTCCATCCTTTTGGCCGCAAGCTTCTCTGCCAAAGAGCGGCCAGTGCGCGGCGAGACAGAATGAACAGGCTGTGAAATTCTGCCCGCCATCTTGACGTGTTCACTCTTGGCCCCGCCATCTTTGCTTGCATTGATGGAGCTTGGCGATCTCTCTGTCTTGTGAGCAGAAATCGCCCCAATGGCTGCGCCTGCAGTACCGAGCCCTGGTGAGGTCAAGTATGGATCCGCAATGGCAGGAGAAGTCGCGGACCCGTCCGTATGGGCCTCCTGACCAAGACCAAGGGCCGCAAGGCCTTGCCCACATCGATCTTCCTTCTTGGCTGAATCCAAAGGCGTCGAGACAAAGTCCTCCCTTGTCCCACGCTGCTCCTGCAAAGCAGCCTGCTTTGCTCGCTGAATCACCGCCTCCATGTCGTCGCGCTCCTCCATCTGGAGATCCGCTGAGTGAATCAGCGCAGCGAACTCCAAGTCCTGCGCTGGGCATGGCGCAGGCTCCTGCGGCTCCAAAGTCGCGCTCCTGAAAGCGCTCCTGGCTTGCGACTGCTCCGCTGTAGCCACGGCAAAGGTCCCTGGCCAGCCTTTCCATCGAGGCAAGGAACCGCGTTTTTTCTTTGGCGTAACTCTGTTTGAGTTGCGCCTGCCATGAAGACCACTGCTGCTTCTTCTCCAGTTGCTCCTTCTCTATGGCCTGGACCCTCTTTTCGGCCTTCTTCTCCATGTTTACTGCTCGCTGTAATTGCGAGATCAGTGGATCTACTCCGCTGGCACTGCTGCTCGACATTTCCATGATTACACGCTGGTCCGACGCTGGCTTTGTCTGATCGAACGCAGGTAAAGCCCCGTCTTGTCCTTGCTCTTGTTCCCTTGCCCCGTGAGAGATGCCGAAGATCTCCAGGGAGCCGCATTGTAATCCGCCTGTTGCTGCTTGCGTCCACGCGGTTGGTGCGCCACGCCAGTAATGCCAAGCAGAACCGTCTCCACTCCATGACATCCCTGCATGCTCCCGATAGCGAGGCTGCGAATGATGCCGCTGCAGCAGCGAAAGGTCGGCAGGGAGTCCAAGCCAGCGAGCTTGGTGGATCCTGAAGCGGGCTCTAGAGCGCAGTTGCCTGGCCCTTCTGCGCCAAGCCGGAGATTTCGCTATGGCTGTCGTGCCACGGGGCTGGAGCTATCCTTATCCTGCTGTTCTCGAGCCCTACTTAGTTAAGTAATTACCTAATTTCTTATTTGCAGCTCAGACACCCACTAAACCACACTCATGCCCCAATCTGAGAGC